GGGCTGCGCCAGGCAGCAGAGCAGGGACAATCATCACGCTCCTCCCCAGCACCGAAACAGCCTTTTTTGGCCCAAAACCACCCTCAACAGCTTCACCAACCCAGCTCCCAGCCGGCACCTGCCGGGGCAGAGTCCAGGACCCCCCCCTATCCCAGCACACACCCCTCTCCCTGCCCAGTAAAGTTTACTGCAGCTTTTTTGTTTGTTTTTATTTTCCTTACACAATGATGTGTTGTTGGGCATTACAATTTCTCAACTTTAGGATGACTTACAAATTTTGGTTTGTTTTTGTTTTTTTCCTACCGTCATGTGAGAACATTAAGGCAACGTACAAAAAAAAAAAAAATCTTACATAAATTAAAACAATGCATAAATTTACAGGTGTAAATGCAAAGTTTCAGCAACTCAAGTTGAGTAACTTCAGCCCCGTGATGGCGACTGGGATGCGAGTGGGGAGGAGGATGAAGAACTGGTTCGTAAGGCTCGGATGCGATATGTTTGTTTTTTTTTTCCCAACCTTTTCAGAACGGCAGCGACAACAAGAGTGAATTCTTGATGGACTCCTACCAGCCTCTACAGGAAATCTGGAATAACTCCGCACTGGATGACCGGCAAAAGTCTGACTCCAAATACCCTGTACGAACCGGTCCCAGCCCGGGGAGACGGCTCGCTGAAGCCCCGAGCTCTCCTCCGAGACGAGGCGCCGGGAGCGGAGCCGTACAGGGTATTTTCACTCAGGTGTAACACCAAGGGAATGGTTAACTTGAAGGAAAAAAATGTAAAAAAAAAAAAAAAAAATTAAAAAAAAAATAAATCAAGTGACAGCTCGACCATCCAGTGCTGACATTTTGTCTAACATCAGGTACAGACTTTCCAAGGGCAAGTTTTCTTTTGAAAGAAGGCTTATTCCAGTTTTAGGAGGCTAGCATGAGGTGTATCGATTTGCCTGGGCAAACATACACTAGAGTGAGACGACTCATGCAGCGGGCGCGGCCGCCTGCCAGCAGTCCGTTTAGAAGCATTTACGGTGGACGATGGAGGGGCCGGGCTCGGCGTACTCCTGCTTGGTGGTCCACA